TCACAGACATCCTTTAAAAGTCTCTTTCCTGCTCCCTGGTGGGCGGGGCCTGATGATGCATTTGGGACCAGCCAATCAGAGGGGAGGGACCATTAACCAATCATTGGCTGTTTTTATGTTTCTGCTCCGACCAAGTTGGAACCGGACTGATGATTCCAAAGTTGTAGAAACGGAATGTTTTCCTGACCAGGGAGAAGATGGACCATCCACAGCTGTGGGAAACTATGCACGCTGCCGGCCGACGGGCCGCATGGACGGTAACCTAGCAACCAGTCATCGGTCAGACGCCATCGACTGGAGGAACTACTGAGAACCAGCAGGAAGGAAGGACACAGACCTGACCGGCCAATCAGAGGAGAGAGCGGCTGACCAATCAGCAGAGACCTGTCAGGTTTTGAAGTCCTCATCTTAGCAATAAACCAGAGATGGTTCCCTCATCGGCCCTGACTGGACCTTCTGAACCGGACCCACATGCAGAACCGTTCCTGCTTCCAGTAGAACCGGACCGTCGGACCTGGAAGCCTTTTAAAGTCAGGAGGGCGACAACAGGAGGATAAACTGTCAGTAAATGTAATGTGAAATGTAAATCGCTTTATTGTCCCAAACCCCGCCTCTTATTTAGCCCCTCCCCTCTGGGAGCCGTGGGCTGAATCACTTTGATCCTGTTTGGAGAAAAACAATCAACTTTAATTATCTAATTTAAGTCATTTACGGTAAAAACAACGAAAGAAAGAAAAACAAAAAGGTCAATTCTAAAAAAAAAAGGAACTAAAAAAGCTTCACTAACATGTTTAAATATTTATTGTTCTTTTCTTTGCTGTATTTTATCTTTTAAATATTCTTTTTTTGTTTTAAATAATTTAATTGTCTCTGTTTTTCATGTTAATTTCACTTTGTTTTCCTTTCAGATATTTTGTAACATTTAAAATCAGTTTTTATTTAAATATTAACCTGACTGTTATTAAAACTCCTCATAGAGCTAACAGGGAAGCAGCGCCCTCTGCTGGCAGAACGTGTTCATAGATGGATTCAGTCATTTAGGAAGGAATAGTTTAATAAACTTGTTTTTATTTCTGGTCTACAGAAGAGGATTAGGGCCTCTGAAAAATTAAAGATAACGTATTTTTAAATATTTCTGTTTAATATGGGAAAAAATCTGAATTCTGACCTTTTTTCTCATATTAAACTGAAATATTTAAAAATCAGTTAACTTTTTTTTTCCGGTCTCCTTGGTCCTCCTCTTACAGGCCAGATTCCTCCATGTTGTGGTCCTCCTGCTCCTCCATGTGGCTGTGGCCTAGTCAAAGTCCAAACCCAGCAGATGGTTGGACCTCCCGGATGATTGAAATGTTGAGCAGCGGGCTGCTTCCTGCTTTACTTCCTGATCCGTCCGGATCTTCCAGAACTTCTCAGACTGATTGTGTTTGTAGAAATCGGGATTGGGATCACTCAGTGCTTCCAGGCCTTGTTGCTTCTGCTTCCCAGCGGGAATGTTCTGGGTTTGAACAGAACCTCCACCAGGTGGTTGGTTTAGTAAACGAGGGCCAGACGGGACGGTGTGCCTTTGGGTGAACAGAAGCAACCGATGCTAACCTTTACTAACCTGCTGCTGTAAATACGCTGTGGACTCTGCATGGCTGCCGCTTTAGTTTGGATCCACCTGATATTTAAGTTCTGCTTGAGTTCTCCGTCTGACCCGCCTGGTTCTCCTCCGGCTGAAATAAACTATGGCACCTCCTTCCTCTGTCCTGTCTTCATTCTTCTCGTGTCTCTTTGAGGACCGGCTCCGGTCTCAGGTCCCGAGACATCTTCAGATCTTCCAATCTGGAGGAGGCGGAGCTAAACTGTAGGGACCCTCTGGATCGGAGCTCTGCAGCCATTTTGGAAATGTTTCATTTTTCATCCAAAGGAAGAAATAAAATGTTTTCCACATTAATTTAATAATGATAAATAAAACTGATTCCCAGATAGTGAAGCACATTCAGACAACGTCCATCTGGGGTCACTGGTTCCTATGGGGTCACTGGTTCCTATGGGGTCACTGGTCCATCTGGGGTCACTGGTTCTGGAGTTCTGATTAGAAAGATCAAACTGGACCGAACTTCAGCTGCAGCTCAGCTTGAATAAGATGAAAGTTTCTAAATTCCTGAGCTGGAAAATTATAAACATGTTAGAGCTTAAGTCCACACCAAAGGTTAGAGGGTCAGAGGTTAGCCTGGGGTTAGGATTAGAGATTAGAGGGTTAAGTTAGGGTTAGGTTAGGGTTATAACCAGTCAGGGCATTCGGGGAAGTCAAAATAGCCCGAGCAGGTAGCGTGAAGGTTTTGGGGGGGGGTCCCCAGGTAGCGTGAAGGTTTGGTGGAGACAGCATGTTCCTGAGAACAATGCTAAACAAATGAGTACTCAAAATAACTCCCAAACTACAACAGGCATGGACTCTAATCTGGCATGCAGGACTTCCATCATCAGGCCAGGTTTGGTGGGCGTGGCTTATTTCCTTCTCATAGCTGCCATAGACTCCCATTCATTCTGTCTGAAGCTGGAAGCTGGGAAACGCGTCGCTCTGCAGCGCTGTGGGTCTGAATGAACATTTGGATAAAAACTGAAAGCTCCGGCTGTTATAAATGCACTACATTTCCCATGAGCCTTTGGGCGCAGCGCTGCAGGTGTTCCCTATCAGCGCTCAGCTGTTTGATTAGCAGCTCCCAAGCTGTTGGTTCTCCTGCGTTAAGCTGGAGTCCTCCAGCAGGGGGCGCTCTCTGCTCCCTGTATGTTGCTGACTCCTGGCTGAAGGAAGCGGAGGTCTTCCAACTCACCTGCGGACAGGTAAGCCTGACACGAACCAGATGAAGACACGTGCTTCTGCAGACTAATCAATAATCACATTTGAAGAAACGTTTTTTGAATTTTTAAATCAAAAATCTGTTTAAAATATCCTATTTTTAGCCATTTAAGACTAAAACATGGTTTGATGAGCCAGGGGCAGATATAGGAAATAAGGGGCCCTAGGCAAGGACAGGCAGGGGGCCCTCTGAATTGAGACATATAAAACAGACCCATTCTACAGATAGAGAAATGTTAATAGAACAGACATACGTTATTCAGTAGCGGTTCTAGACTCAGCGGCCAGCATGTTTTCATGGGGGCCCAAAAAAGCATGAAATAATAAACAGGGGAAGGGATTCAAATATATTAAGAGAGCTGCATGAAGAGAAATTTCTATTCAATTAGGTTTAATTAAAATTCTATGTCTCGTCAGGTAAATGTACATTCATAATTTAGGAATTTTACATATTTTTAAAGTTACCATTTTCTATAAAATCTGAATGAGAACTCAAGGAAACTGAGAAATTTAGCTGTAAAAAATTGAGTATTTGTTTTTTACTTGTTTTGAAAACTGGGATCATATCTCAATCCCACTGAAGCTTTCACCTTTTTGTTTTTAAATAATTATTAAACAGAATTTTTGAAGAAAAAAAGTGAAATAGGTCCTTTGGATCCACCAGTAACCATGTCTGTTCCAGTGCAGCTCATCATTAGAATTTCTCTTAGTTTTATGTCTTCAGTAAATGATTTGCAGGGGCACTGGCCCCCATTGGCCCCCGTCTAGAACCACCCATGTTCCTTTTCTTGTTGTGGTGAGCAGACCGACGCCCCATCATTTCATCCCAGCCGTAAGTTCCCGCGCTGTTCCGCGGCTGTGACATCATAGAGGTCCAGGTTCTGGTCCTTCCATCCAGCTTCACTCAGACACTGAAAACA